CCTGTAACTGAATACGCATACCCAGCTTGGCTAAACCTTTCTGAAGTTGAAGTTACAAAAGATACAAAACTACTTTCTGACAAAAGTATACAAAGTATAACAAATACTACATTTTTACATAGATATTCTAATATCTTGTTATTGTCAGAAAAACACCTAAGTAGCTCGGTTAAATATTTTAAGAGAAACTTCGGCAAAAACGAGCTAGACAGTTCTAGAACCTAGACAGCTACATCATACATGATGAATGTAGTCCAAAGTTCCTTTCTTCTTTAAGTAGAGTGAACAGATTTCTACGAAAGGACACTTAGTTCTGGGCTAACTGAATTTTAGATACACATATAGTTTTATTTGAAAAAAAAAGGTATTTATGTTTGTCAAAATAAGGTTATCTGTGTATGTCTAGGCGCATAAGTGGAGCTGTTATTTTTTGCATATAGAATTATATGTATAACATAACATGAAATTATATGTATAACATAACATAAGCTAAGCTTAGTGAGATATTTGTTTTCAGTATGTAGACATGGCTGAAAATAACGTGGAAATGTAGTCTTATGTGGATTTTAGTGGAATACATGTTCAACACAACTGTGCCAAAACTAACTTTTAAGAGTACAATTACCTAAAAGTCAGCCTGTGTGAGAAGAAATACAATTGAAAGGGGGAGGAAGAGGTCAGGGAAACCTTACCCTATCGTAGGAAAACGTACCTATAAACAACGATACAGAGTAAAACGGGTCCTTGTAATAAAGTATTTCTTTAGTTATAAGCACATTTGTACTTAAAGTACCTATAGAAATATCTTCCAAGCACACGTGAACTTCACTGTAGAACAAGCTTTCTCATCATCGTACACTTGACTAGCACACAGCTCCTCCTTGTGATATTATAGACAACCACAGTTAAAACAACTGTCAATCAGATGTAAGTGAGCCTTCTGCTACTGTCGGGTTATTATAGTATCAGAGCCCAGTTCTAATGGGGAAGGATGGGGGTAAAGGTTTTAGCAGTGGTCCCTACACAAATAGCCACCTCCCAGTGGCTCAGCGGTATGTCTGCGGACTTATAACGCTAAAGACCGGGTTTCGATACTCGTGGTGGGCACAGCACAGATAGCCCATTGTGAAGCTATGTGCATAAGTACAAACAAACCCACACAAATAAATGACATTAGACTAGCTACTGTGGAGGCGCTGGTCTGTAGCTTCTGACCATAAGATTCTATTACCATAATGATCTTTGCTGGTTTTCTACTTCTTCTGAATGACAAGGAAAGTTATTTCAAGTAAAAATATATAATAATAATAAATAATCAGTGTTAAATAATAATAAATAGTGTTAAATAATTAGTGTTAAATAATAATAAATAGTGTTAAATAATAATAAATAATTAGTGTTAAATATTAATTAATATCGTGTTCTTTATCCTTACCCTCAATATCTGATTTATAAATGGCTCTTATATAATTTATAAAAAAATATATATACATCACCACCACAATTTTGTTCAGTTTTTGTTCAGGCAATTTGATTATATAAATGTTTTCTCAACTAGAATTGAGTATTATGTCTGTCGTATCCTAGTGGGCCTTATGATTCCTGGTATTAAACGAAAGGCCTCGTCGGCACTGAATATAGCAGATGAAGTGTGGTTAACACATTGTTATACATTTTCTTTACTTCACTTATAAGTTCTTAGAATTCTATGTTTCTTTGCTCTAGTGCAGCTTGAATGGACTGCCGTCAACCAAGGTGTTACTTTTTGCTTTAGCCCTTACTAAAGTATGTTGTAACTACAACTTGTTCCAAAATAAGAAATATTCAAGCAAACTGCATGTTTGTGAAATATTTCAATCTTCATGACTGAACATAAAAATCAAATGAAACATTGGATATACACAAAATTTCCTTTTATCATAGGTTACTCTCTGATGATTTCACTCTCTGCGTGAACACTTTCCCGCCCATTCTTCACTAGCATTATCAAAACCATGGGATAATACTATGTTACTTCCCCAAGACAGTTCAATTACATTGTGGACATTTTTTCTTCCATGGATATTCTTTCACGAACACCAACAAAAATAACGGGTACACCATAGCTTCTATGTGTGATCAGATCATTTATGTGATGAAATACGAATGAATGATTTTATGTACATGTAACGTCTCACACGTTTTTATACACGTATATTATCACATACACTCAACTATGTCAACATTATTTATCATTATATATGCTTATAGTGTTAGACAGCCAGTTCGATGACTGACGCTCCGTCACTATAACAATCAAAAAGGCTGCTTCTTCCAGCTGTATCTCGATAACTACCATTCTGTATCATGAAAGCAATAATCACAGGCAGAATTTTGCTGAACTAGGATTTTTCAGCTGAATCTCATCTGGCCGAAGATAATATTTGTGCTGTAAATCATAGCATACATCAATACAGACAATGTACGATATCTAACAGTAAAATACATCTACTAGTAGGTAATCACCAATCGCTGAACTATTACACAACATACCGTCATCTATAGGTAGCTCTACTCACTAATATATTTTCATATGGAACCTGAAGAAGACTGGTTAGTCGAAACATTGTTTATAAATAAAACGCGTTTTTATTTCCTGAACTTGTGTTTATAAAATAAAATAAAAACTTTCTGTGTAGTAAAAGGGATTTTAACGTCCTGCTAGTTAGCATCAGAAAAACAAACTAATACAGACAAAATCAAGTGGAACGAGGACATTTTCGCGAAGATTGTTTGTAGTCGAGTTGTATTCTATGTTAAGCTCGCGGATACTTGTACAAAGCTACTCGAGGGTTATCTGCGCTAACTTTGAACTGATAAACTAAAAGGAAAGTAATTAGTCAACAGTACTCATCGCCATCTCTTGGAGTACTTTAATTAAATAGCAGGATTTGAATGTCAATTTTACAAGGCGGCCACGGCTCAAAGTGCTGAGAGCGATTTTGTGACAACGCAGGCGAAGCATGGACCCTCGGATTCAGAATCCGGTACAAACCACTAGGCCACACCTGGCCCGTGCTGATTTAAGCGCACTGCTCCTGTACATATTTGTTTAATTGGTATTTAAATTTCACATTTCCATACACAAACACCGAATGCAAAAATACACGCTAATGATTGAGTGGAGAAGTTCTTGCTGCACCACAGGTCACCTTCCTCATCACCAGATGAAGCGCCATCTCTAGTCTCATCCAGGCAACAACGACTATTGACGTCCAAGTGTCCTATACAGAATTCTTATTTAATTTCAGAATAACAACAACACAAAAAGATCACTTATGCTTTCCGAGGTCTAAATGCAGGAAAGAATCTGATCAGCAGTTCTGGAGATCTTAGACTGTGATTTCCCTTTTTGTTCCGGATTTCCCCTTAGACCTTGCCACTTTTTACCTTGAAAGATTTGTGGAAAATCCCTTTTACTGTCGAATCAAGTTCAAAGCTTGCGTAAGAGAAGAGTCAAGAACAAAAAATTACAAATTTTGATTATATAATGTCAAAATTAAAACATATTTTTTGCCAATATTTTATATAGTGAACAAATAATTCAGGTTATTTAATCTAAATATCTCAAAATTTGAATTAGATTTTTTTCATGCTTTCATAAAAACAAATTGTGCTTCTCAAGCCGACGTATAGTTGTATTACGTGGAAGTTTTAAGACTGAAGCCATTGTGAAAGTCTGCAACTATAAATGAAAAAATAAATGGCCGTCGAAGCGTTTAATGACACATTAAACAGCTGATACGAATGAGGAAGTCTGTGTCTGTAAAAAAAAGAAATATAAAACACTTCCAGTTTCTCACGGATGCATGCCAAGTGGTGTTCGCAGTTGATGGGCCGTAGCGTGTCAATTTTGGAAAATGTGTACATAAAAAATTGTCTGATTTATCCAAGGTGACCATAAACGTCAGGTGGATAAACCGTTAAGCGTCACGAACATACCGACTCAGCTCAGTCTAGGCCTAATAGTCTAATATTTAAAGAAAATGGCGGCAAAATCTGAGAACATGATATTAATCATTGATCACGTAGCTGGCTGATGATGTCACTGCAACAGGCCAGTATGATGTTATTTACATATTGTATTTTTTGTTTCTAGTTGCTACAATAAAAGGGAAAAAGTAGATTACTCATACTAGTTTAAAAAAAAACAAAAACTTGTCAGATATGTATGCATAAAAATTGCCTGATTTATTCCAACCTTCACAAACTTGCAATTTTACAAGCTAATGTTTGTGGTAATAGGTTTTTTTTTAATGAATAAGACGAAATTGATGCAATCTCGAGTTTTAGGTTTTTGTAATGCAACCCAACCGAACATAGTCAGTGCACAGATAACCCACGCATTTCTAGTCTTCATGGCGACAGGCAACTGTATGCTCGAGAGAATCCGTCAAGATGACGACTTACTTGTTTTATTAATACATATCCACTGTGAGGTTTGTGAACAGAGCCGCCTCAGTATTTTAATTTATTTCATGGACAATTTGTATCTTTATAACACTAATAAAAAATTAAAATTGAATCGGAATTTCAATTTTGTTTTCTTGAAATGACAGTTGGTGAATACCTTGATATTGATTTAATAAACTACATATATATATATATATATTTTAAAAATTGTTTTCATTTGACAAACTAGCTAAAGTATGAATAGTGTATCATTTTTTTTTATAAGAACGGACTCGGTTTATTTACGAACAAAATTTTTGTTTGTTGAATTTCTTGCATGGGGATAAACTAGAGGGAAAGTAGCTAGTCAACACCACCCACCTCTAACTCTTGGGCTACTCTTTACCAACAAGTAAGGTAATGGACCATTATCACATTACTGAAAAGGTGAGCATGTTCAGTGAAAGGGTTCGAGCCCGCAACCCGCAGGTTATAAGTCAAGCGCCCTAGCCACCAGGCCACGTTAGGCCCCAAATAAAATAATAAAGGGTAATACGCTGATTTTTTTCTTCAAATTTCTGTTTTATTTTAATTGACTCAACTTTACAAAGAGCAAAAGCATTTACGTACATAAAAAAGTTATGTTATAACAAAGTATTCCATACAAAAATACACATTAAAACTGGTCCACATATTTTATTGATAGCATAATCTTCAACTCAGATCTCTTTCTACGTACATCTTTTAGTTAGAGCACAATTTCTTGATTATGTATATATAAGAATGGAAACCTTGCTTATTCAATACTGGATATGGAGATCAAAACCAAATTTAAATAATTTTGACATTGTTTCATTCTACACATGGTATAAACTTAAAAAAGAAGGTAATGAAATTATAATTTTTATAAAATCCCAGGAACATTTTTTTTATAAAATATACATTATTATCCTTTTATGGGGTCAAAGAAAACAATTCTTTGTTGTCCAAAAATGTCCAAAAAATGTAAAGATGTAATGGACAAGGAACGGAAAAAAGGTGATAACTTTTGAAAATTTACTTTTAAGGAACACGACCATAAAAATATATTATATAGAAAACTGTACATATGCTTTGTATTTGAGTACAGCTAAAATTTTCATTTATACTTCATTGACGGTGTATAAATAACATATGGTAACATAACTTACTGATGTGTAAATATTTCTATTATTAGTAACTTTTAGCACACTTACTGCTTGCTAAAAAACCTATTAAAAGCATCCCGATATTATTATATTATTTTTTGTAAGTTAGTAATTTGTGTCATTTATTAAAATTAATTATAAATCATGGGAACAATTTGAATATTAATGTTAAAGCACGTGTTTAAACTGCCCATCAACGTACGTTGTAAACTACTATGATCTGAATTTTGAGCTCGTTCTTACTTCATAACCGTAATGTGAAATCACCGAGTTAACAAAGTTACACTGCATTTAGAACATAGAAATTGTGCTCAACCTAACGTAACACCGAATATACACAAAGATTAATATATATAAAATATTATAAAAATAATAAGCTATAATCCTAGGCTACATGGACTTCACAGTAAATCTCAAATAATACTTCCAGCAGATCCAGTCAAATCTTGTTTGCGTATTGTTTTATCCACGTTCTCGCGATCATAAAAATATATTAAAAAAAAACTGACCAGATAAAGATTTATCTACATCTCACATGTTGAAGTTCTTTTTCCTACTCGGAACCTGAGTAAAATGAATGGAAATATTTAGAATTATGGCAGTTAAAAAAATCAAATGAATTAACACAAAATTATGTCGACATAAATACACTATGTATCAAAATATATAAGTTCACGTGACAGCTCTTCAGAAGTCTGATGAACGCCCTGGGGCGCGTATTGTTAATCAAAGACAAACGTCTGATCACTATGTTCCCAAAGGTTTGTTAGGAAAAAAAAATGAAAGAAGGTGGAGAAAATCACTAAACAATTCTTGGTGTAATTTCGATTCACTACCCGAAAAACTGGTACGCCACGATGTAAAGAGGACTCTGATTGGCTGGCCGATCAATGTCATCTTGTGTCCTTAACTCAAATTAATAAATCTACAATACACTTGCGATGTTATGCGTTTATTTATCCCCCTCTAGGCGTAGTAACTCTAAATTCAAATATTTGCTTATTTTTGAAACTTTGATATACGTCTCGCATCAGATTCTGTCAAAGGTAAACTGGGAAAAAAAATCGCTAACAACCAAAGAAACGTTGTGTATTCAAGAATTAAATATTGAATATTAATCAGTCTGCTACGTCTTTGCTGCAGAAGGTTCACATCTGAACATATCGACTGTTTGAACGGGAACAACAACAATACGGATTTGTATAGAAAAGATCTAAAAAAATATTCTGGTTTTGTAAACAACATTCAAAACCTCCACTGCTTTGTCTACAAATGACTTGCATATATATTACAACTGAATTTTATACATCATGTAATTGACGTGATCATAACAACACTACTTCGCATACATAAGTACAAAATAATAAACATTAAAAACAAAACTGTTTGCTTGGAAATTGCTTCAACTATTTGGTATAGTTATTGTTTTACTTATTAAATTTAATCTAGTTATTCAGAACAATTGAATCTGCTCTTACCTACAAAAAAGATAGGCTTGTGCGAAGTATCCATCCTCATCAAGGTTTCTTGCGCCACGTTCGAACTTCCAATGTCTATGCTGGAAGACTTCTGAAACTCATAGTTCAGTTTCTTCTGAGCCACTTTTAGAGTTCCACAGCTCAGGGTGTAAGCCTTTTGGAGCTCATAGCCCACCTTTTTCTGAGCCACGCTTGGATTTCCACAGTTCATTGTGTAAGCCTTCTGGAATTCGTAGAATCGCTGGGCGCTGCACAGTGGAGTTTCAACTTCGTAAGTGTTGTTGAATTTTCCAAAGTCAACCACAAAATCACCAGTGTCCTTGCAATATGAAATCACTTCTTCAAACCGGTGTCCCCATAACACTTCATGGGAAAGGTATGAAGATTTTGCTTGAAAGGACTGACCAGTGGACGCTGTTGTTCCTTCCAAGATTACTACTAATTCAAACGTGTCCTTTACGACTGCTTCAGCTGACATGGTATAAAGTGGACTGGTTTCATTGATTTCGTGGATTACGACTACTGGCCACGAAAGAAGAACGTTGTCATTGGCGCTGTCGTAGCACACATCTAACAGCGTGTGGTAGTAAGGTATAAATTCACCTTCTCTTGTGGTCTTTTTTTTAATAAAATGCAAACTGATCTGAGCACCAATCACAGTTGATTTCCGCATGTCACCAACACGGAACATTAAACAAAGTTTTCCATCACGGACACAGACAATGGCATTTCGGCTAAACATGAGGGTCTGTTGGCGCTTTTTGGGTCGAGAGAACTTGGCAAAGATCATACCTACAATGAAACACTGAATTATAACTCCAGTGATGGACTGCAGGCAGAGAGCAAAGACAGCTTCTGGACATTCTTCGTTGATGTAACGAAACCCATAACCTATGGTGTGTTGGGTTTCCAGAGAAAATAGAAACGCCGATGCAAAAGATTTAATATTGTGAACACAGGGTTCCCAGTTTGTATCGTTCAGGTGATCAAAATCTCCATGAGAAAAGTTAATCAACCACCAAATTATGGCAAACCCTAACCACGTGATGATGAATCCCAATGCAAACACCAGTAGGTTCCATCTCCACTGAATGTCAACTAGTGTTATAAAGAGGTCCTGTAGGTAGCGCTGCCGTTTCTTGGCTACATTTTTGATGACCACATTAGTAGTTCCATTCTTCAAGACTAGCCGTTTTCTGTTGCGGCGTGGTAGGATCCTTTTCTGTTCGGATTGATAAGTCTTTCGGCTACTATTACTAATATTTGTTAGTCCGTTGAGGGAAAGGTGTCCGGGCAGTGTGTCCTCACTTGCAGAATCTGCGCTCTCAAAAGGATGGGTTTGTTTGGCAGCCTGGCCTGTTTGTTGTTTTCTGTTAAGTTCTCGTATAAAGCTGTCCTGTTCTACATCCATTTATTTAATTTAACTCTAGTTTTAGACTTAAACAAAAGATGCAAAAATTTTGTTTTTGGTTGAGTACTTTTTAGTAAAAGCCCAAAGTACCACAACGTAAATCGTGTTGGTACTCTTACTGCATTTACTTCTCTGATAGCTAACTTTGGTGTTAATCCTATACTTGGCTCTTCTCAACAGATCTTCTTGGTGTAAGCCACAGATAAATAATTGGTGTTGATTAATCCTCTTAAGCTGATGTTCGAGTAATTCAACAGTTTTCAGTGCAATACCTAGAAGGAAAGTAAGGGGGGAAAATATCACTAAAATATCGAATGTTCTACGTATATAAAACAGTAGCTTAGAAAAATCTGCGAATACATATTCCCAGAAAGCAAAATGGTGTCCCAAGATATGATGAGATACTGGTAAACACGTGACTTACGGAGATTTTAAAACAACTAAAAACTCATTGCATTAAGCAATTTTATTAAAATAAACCACAAGTTAATAAGACAGCATACAAAAAATGTTTGATAGTACGTGCAGCCTAACCTACACATGATTTTCAAATAATGACACGTGAAACCAATTTATTCGGCACGTAATATTGAGTTGGTATATTTCTGCATATCCTCTACACTACGTGAAAGGTCAGTATAATGGGTCACTGCAAGACCGTTGACAAAATTATATCTTGTAGGCACTCACAAGGGAAATTTATTTTGTGATATAAATGAACGTCATATATAATATTAAGCAGAACTGATAGTGTTGATTTCTATAATCGAATTATCTTTCTCAAGCAGACGTATATTTTAAATTATTTACTTTTTAGAAAGTACGTTAGTGTCTAAGGCAAACAAAAAATGTGCAAATGACATAGATAAAAGATATACCTTTCATGATAAGACAGAACATCCAGTTTTTATTGCGGCTATTTTCATCACATACAGAACGAGCTTTAGATAATCTACTGAAAGATTTTATATATTCTGATAGCGGTTACAAAACTCGGCAAAAATCTCTTGCTATCATTCTCGCCAAAGAAAAATGTCCAATCTTCCTTCAACACATGGATTGTACTGGACTGGCATCAACGAGACCTCATAAATTGACCAAGAAAACAGAAGCGCTAAAAACTTATAAAAAGGTTGGAGACTCATTTCTGAACTAGTGGGATGTAGTGGAGTTTTAGTTGATGTAATAAAATACTGTTCCATCTTATAATTTATTAGCCTGGAATGGAATCCACCATCTAAAAACAGATTAGCAGTCTGTCAACACAAGACTTTATTCTGTCATTTGATAATGACAGAATACTGAATGCCCCGTTTTAGTTCTCGGCTCTCCTCTACTTCCCATCTCTTCCTCTGAGACGATATTTATAGAACTACAAAATTTTGACGTCAAAAATCTCTTAGAACGTTACCGATTTCACTCCCTTTATTTGGTAAAGAATGCTTTTATTTATCAAAGTTAAAAAGATGCAGATAGAATCATCTATAGAACAGGGGGGGGGGAGAGAAGGTAAAGAACTGCCCCCAATAACTGAATTTACTGTTTCTATCCATTTCGAGAGTCGTCCATAGAACCTCCATGCTTAAAGCAATGATTTGGTTTGGAACATGAAAGTCTGTTTATTGAACATGCTCTCCAAACCAAATCATTACTTTAAGCATTGAAATGGAACTCCTTTAACATGAAAGTCTGTCTATTGAACATGCTCCATAAAGGAGTTCCATTTCAATGCTTAGAGTAATGATTTGGTTTGGAACATGAAAGTCTGTCTATTGAACATGCTCCATAAAGGAGTTCCATTTCAATGCTTAGAGTAATGATTTGGTTTGGAACATGTACACCCTGTAAGAGGAAATGCCCCTCTTTACTCACGGAAAGGAGATTTTACAATACTATTAAAAATGACTTTTTAAGTTGTTTCTGCTTTCAATTATTATCATATTCTTATCTACAGTCAAGGACACGGGATAAATAACGTAGCTTCTATGTGCATATTATTATTAATACATTATGTAATATCCTGGATCTCTCTGACGGGAGCCTTAATCCAGCGTACATGGCAAAGCCCACTCGTCAAAGTAGAAGTAACAATAATAAAAAACACGTATATAAACTCGTCAACGGGAAATAAGACAACGCAATTGATTGTTATGTTAGATAAAAATCCCGAGGAATGTTAACGGTACTGCATATAATTGCGCTCTGTATTAATAGTATAAATGACAATATAATACAACCTTATGGAGTAATTTATACAAAGAATATGAACAACCTTTCTTCTCCTCAATGTATAAAACTCGAAACATGACTTTCGCTTTTATATCATCAATATAAACCTTATTATTTTTTATCACGCACGTGGTATCATCAATATAAACATTATTATTTTTTATCATGCACGTGGTATCATCAATATAAACATTATTTTTTTTTATCACGCACGTGGTATCATCAATATAAACATTACTTTTTATCATGCACGTGGTATCATCAATATAAACATTATTATTATTTTTATCATGCACGTGGTATTATCAATATAAACATTATTTTTTTTTATCATGCACGCGGTTATTAATCTGGTAGTATCGAATTTATTGGTGATAGGCGATTGTACGATAAATTTAATTTTATTACTATTGTTTCAATATTATCAGCAGCATTTGGAGTTTTATCTTCAAAAAGAGATAATGAAATTAAAGCGTTGAAATGCTCGAGTAACTGCGAATTTGGTTTTTGAATTTCGCGCACAGCCACTCGTTTGCTGTCTTCGCTTGCCATCCATAATTTAGAACCGACTGACTAGAGGAAAGTCAACACCACCCACCGCCAACTCTTGGGATACTCTTTACCTCGGTTGAGAGGGCGAGCAAGTTCGACAACGGGATTCAAACCCGACTCACAGATTGCGAGTAGAGAGAGAGGAAAAAGCGCCCTTACCACCAGACCAAGTACTTAACTTATTAAATGTTCTAGCATTGGATTGAGTTTTGTTTAGATTAGGATTTATCGTCGATCCAATATGTAGCAAGTTATCTTTCAAGTATCCTATATTTCCCAAATTGCAAAGGGCAATATGTATATTATTGAACCAAAGCGAAATAAACATGACTTGTATATTAATACCTCTGTACTTATAGAAAAACGATAACTTTAAGTACAATTTTCTATAAATACAAACAGATTGAAAGAAGCAGACATCCATATATCGTGGGACACTGACATACAGATAAGCAGTGTTAGATTATATTTAAAGCTAAATGCGCATCTAAATTAAACTGGATTACAATGTGTTTAAGACTTCACACACTAGGGTTGATTGACACACACATTAAGGCAGCGTTTCCCAAACTGTGTTCCGTCCGAGATTGATTGTTTGTTTTTCAAATTCGATGACGAGGAACCCACTTTGAGACTAATAATGGCTGGAGACGGCTTAAATGGGTAATGAAGAAAAACTTTAATATAAGTTTAACATGACAGCAAATGTACAACGTTTCGACAAGGTTTTGTCATCATCAGGT